TCCGTCCTCATCTGGTGAGATCGACAAACGAATCTCTTCTTCATGTACTTTCATTCGAAATGAAGATCCCACTAATAAATAATTCAAGAAAATATTCATTTTGCGATTAGATGCAACGGGAATTCGATACGAATATGCCAAACAGGCATCAGGCGGAATGACAATGCTTGGGAATACGATGAGAATATTGCAAAAAAGGAAATGGTAGTTAAATTGTTTTACTATCGGGCATGTATGAAAATGTGGCACCGTAAAGTGGAGTTACAACTTGACGAAAATGTGCAACAACGGGACGAAGTTGCAGCAGGGAAGTGCCGCATAAAGCTTTAAAGAGTAAACTTGCTGCTAAAGATGGATGTGGACATTTTTTGGAAGGACGCAATGACGAGATGTGGAAAAATGATGTGGAAAGGAAAGTTGATCAAAAAGATTTTTAAGTAGACATTCGAAAATGTGAGGCGGCATAAAAATGTGTCGAAGAGCAACGTTGAGAAGAGATGCGAAGATGTGATGCGAAAGGTTTGAGTAGATAATTGTTGAATGATGCGTGTAGGAAATACGGTGAGCAAGAGAGGAAATACGAGACTAGTTTTCACTTTAACACTTGGCGAAAGCTATGAGGGAGTGGCATGTGGCTAGGACATAAAGCGAGAATATTTTAAAAGAAAAAAATCGAGTGTAATTATAAAAGTATTACAAAAGCATTAAAAGGTTGTATAAAAGCAGTATTAAATTGAGTTCCTAGTTTACAAATGGATGCAACACCGAGATGTGGAGGCGTGAGAGTAGGCATTCGCGTCAAAGATGTGACAAAAATAACAAATTGACGATTGTAAGGGAGGAAGACTGTGTGCAACCGAGTGGATTAGCATCTCTTTGAAGAGGCGTATTAGCAAGATTTAGACAAATGATTAAGAAAGAAAATGCTATACGAAGAGTTCCAATAGACATTCGCGTAAAAGCTGCGACTGTGAAATGATATGGAAATATGCTAAGAAGAAAAGTGTATAAAAAGTGGGGCAGAAATTTCGCGAAATGATGCAACGTCGAGGCTGTGCAGAGACGAGATAGAGAGGAAGTGCAATGCCAAGGTGTCTGGTAGACATAGGCGCTAGCGATGCGGCAAGGAAGAGGAGTTGGTAGATTTTGAGAGGAAACTTGCTGCAAAAGTGGAGTAGTAATTCTGCGAAAAGATGCATTATCAAGATGTGGAGAAGTGATTTATCGGAGAAATGCGATACCGAACGCATAAGTAGACATTCGGTGAAAATGTACGGAAAAGAAGATATTAGATGGAAATGCGATACGAAAATTTCAAGTAGGAATTCATTTGATTTATGCGGTGAGACAATGCGGGGATAATGCCTTAAGGAGGAATTTGTGGAGGAAATTTCCCGAAAAAAAGGCAACCACGACATGTGGAGAGATCATTCAAATAGCGCTTGGATGGCTTTTTCTGATCGAGTTGGTGGTCGGGATGAACAGACAACTTTGATTTAGAGAGAGGTTTGGTGAATTCTCGTTAAAAACGCTGAGATATATCCCATTTTCTCGGAAGTTTGTAGGCCATTTGTCTATCCCAGTGCAACAAGCAGTTTCCCTTCGCTGAGCAGTAGTGAAAAGTGATCTTCTCTCGAGTCTAGTGGATAATTGTACCGATTTGGTACAACTTTAAAACTACCGATTTTACCGTCCCAGTGGTCTACGTCCAATAAACGCTGATTCTTTATTGCCACCTATAGCATAATTCTTAATTTGGATGATTAATTCTGATAAAAAAGTTAATAATCACTTGTTCCTTCAATCCAACAGCCCTCACTCCACAGCAATCTGGCCTTATTCCGTTCAGTATGAGGAAGTCAATTCACGAATTATGAGTTGTGCTCACCCTATTTCGTTTAAGGCGATGAAGGACTGGTAGTTGAACTTTCCCACAATCTGACGTTTCCATTGCATTTCACAAAGTTTTTTAATTTCCCAAAAGCCTGGGTCTTATCAACACCCCATGCAGGAGTGGAAACATGGTAGCTTAATTTAAATAATGTGAATACAACGAAAAAACAATTCACAATTCCCTATCCGACCAACTATTCGGTCGAATGGATAGTAAATTCACATTTTAACGCTAGCCTCTGAACCCAAACTTACACAACTCAAGGTGACGATTGGCTTGCTTTTGTGGCCTTTTTGTTAAGTTGTTGAGAGTTATTTGCCACTTTGTTGCTATATTTATTTCTGAGGTAATCTGTGATAAGAATTCTGAGGGTCTCGAGAAGATGGAGGTATTATTTACTAGTAATTATGTATATATATTATATATTATATTTGTATATATATATATAAATCTGGAATGCAAATCACGTATTTCCCGGTACTGCTTTCTTCTCATCGCTTCAGTTCACGATAAAAAAGTAAGAACTTACTTCCGATGCACTTATACGAAGGTATAAATTAATAGAGTTTTGTCTAATTCTTCCACTCTTTCTACATTAGACCATTACATGACAACTGCATTAAACCCAAATATAAATTTTAAATAAAAATATTATTATAATATATATATTATTATATATATAATTAGTAGGAAACAATGCCGCCAACTGGTCAAGACCCTTAAATGTCAATCGCACATAAAGTCAGAAACGAATCTAGTAACAAAGAGGCTAATAATTATGAATTGTATATTATATTATTAGAGGGACTTTCATTTCGCATGAAAGTGCATGAAGAAGAGATTCGTTGGTCAATCCCACCAAAAGAGGACGCATGAATCTCGTTGTACTGCAGCCGTTTTGCTTTTATACGATGCACATGTCGACGCAGGTCCACGAGACCTCTGTCGTTTTAGACGAAAACGGGCTGAGCTTTCTTCCATCATTCGACGGACATCATCAGAGCTGGGCCTCATTCCTGTAAAAGTCTCACGTTAGCACTAAGGCAAGAAGACTATCCGGCTCTATATTAACTCTTATATTGACTCAATTACGCAAAATAAAATGAAAAACCTAAATAGATACAGATTGGTTTGGTTAATTATCTTTCATACTGGTCCTGCTACTTTTGCCTTGATGATCAGAGCCTGACATTAGCTTTTTGATAATTCTGATTTAGGACCAGTATTGCGTATAGACGCTAATATGAACACACATACAAACACGCACACACTCGAGCAAAAGTAGCAGGACCAGTATGAAAGATAATTAGCCAAACCACTCTATATCTATCTATCTATCTATCTATCTACCTATCTATTTTTTTTAATCTTTTAATCTTTTTATCAATTTATCAATTTATCTAACTATTTATCTTTCTCTCTCTATATATATATATTTATCTATCTATCCAACTATTTATCTATCTACCTTCCCATCTATTTATTTATCTATATATATTTTTATTTATTTATTTATCCAGCTATATATATATTTCTTTCTTTCTTTCTATCTATCTACCTATCTTTTTTTTAATCTTTTTATCAATTTATCTAACTATTAATCTATCTACCTTTCCATCTATTTATTTATCTCTCTCTATATATATTTA